CTAGCGCCTCCCCGCGGTGGCTGCGGGAGTCGGGCTGCGACACGGCGTGCGGGGAGGCGGGAATCGAAACGGGCGCGGGGCATAAACCGCAAGGACACGGCGACCGGGACAGGGAGATGGGACACGGAATGGCACAGGGAGAGGGACATGGGACACGGGGACAACAGGGGAGTGGGACACGGACACTGGGACAGGGACCCGGCCTGGACAGAGGGACAGACACGGGGACGTGGGACGGGGACATGGACACTGGGACAGTTACAGGGACAAGGGACAGACAGAGCATGGACAGAGGGACAGACACGGGGACGTGGGACAGGGACATGGACACTGGGACAGTTACAGGGACAAGGGACAAACAGAGCATGGACAGAGGGACAGACACAGGGACATGCGACACGGATAAGAACACAGCAGGGACACTAGGACAGACACAGCACGGACAGAGCGACAGACATCGGGATGTGGGACACAGACATGGACACTGGGACAGTCACAGGGACAAGGGACAGACAGAATATGGACAGAGGGACAGACACGGGGACGTGGGACACGGACAAGAACACAACAGGGAAACTGGGACAGACGCAGCATGGACAGAGGGGCAGACATCGGGATGTGGGACATGGATATGGACACTGAGACAGTCACAGGGACAAGGGACAAACAGCATGGACAGAGGGACAGACACAGATGGACACTGGGACAGACACAGCACAGACAGGGACAGACACAGGGTTGTAGGACACAGAAGGATGTGCAACACAGACAAGAACACAGCGTGGACACTGGGACAGACACAGGGATGTAGGACACGGACATGGACACTGGGACAAGAGACAGACAGAGCATGGACAGAGGGGCAGACACAGGGATGTAGGACACAGAAGGACATGAGACACAGACAAGAACACAGCACGGACACTGGGACAGACAGAGGGACACGGGACACAGGGACCCACAGGGACAGGAACACCGCCGTGGACACACACACACAGGGTTGTGGCCGGGGCTGTCTGACCACAGGACTGTCCCCACAGAGTGGATCGAGCGCCAGAAAGCCAAGAACAAGTTCTACTATTACCACCAGAAGTTCCGCCGCGTGCCCGACCTGAGCGAGTGTCTGGAGGGCGACTACCTCTGCTTCTTCGAGGCCGAAGCGCAGTGGAGGAGGGACAGGTAGGGCTGTCACTGGGCTGTCCCCACGCCAGGCACAGCAGAGCGCACAGCTCTGGTCAGCCAGCCTGGGAACCACAGCGGTTGGTGTGAGCTCACAGCATTTTCATGGACTTCGGGGGTGTTGAGGCAGCATCTCCTGCCCACCCCATGACAGCAACACCCGCTTCGTAACGCTGCTGTCCCCTGCAGCACAGGGTGGCACTGGGACACGTCCTCCCGCACTGCCTGGTTCCTGCAGCACAGACCAGGACCCTCTAAAATCCCAGAGCTCACCTTCCACAGGGTATCATCCCTTGGCTGTGGTTGCATTCATCCTCACCTTTCCTGCAGGATGGTGGATACAGAAATCGTGGAGATAATCCGGGAGAGGGTGGGCGCCTGCAAGCAGAGGGAAGGACCCAACCACCTCCAGAACTGTGCCAAGGAGGTAGAGCTGCTGGCCCAGGTCACCAAGGCCTACCAGGACAGATGTGAGTACGGCAGCAGCTGTGGGAGCTTGTGGGGGGAAAGGGGGTTTGGTTTGAAGCCCCATCCCATGGGAGAGGTTTAGCTCTGTTTAGCTGCCCAGGGGCACTCTTCAAACATTGACTTTCTGTTTTAGATGGTGATCTTGGTGTCCATGGCAACGCAAGGACTTGCCTGATGAAGCAGAAGCACAGGATGATGGAGGAGAGGAAGGCACAAGCACAAGCAAACGCGTCTGAGTAGATGTAACTGGTCAGCACCTCTCTGGTGGTGCCCCTCACAAATACTGCATGTTGCCTCTTTGAACTCTGGTGCTCTTTGCTGACCTCTGCAAATAAACGTGCAGCCCAGATACCTGCCATACAACTAGAATCTCGACTCATTCTTTGAGGAGATCTGTGAATATTTACAAAGTTGTTTCTTTTTCAGCTCTGCATTCCTATCTCTGAATGCTGCTGATTGTTGCCATCCTCTGAGCCACCATCTGCCCCTCGCTCCCGGCATCCCCGGCTCCCTCAGCTGGGATTTCCCCTCTGGATCTCTCCTCCAGCTCCAGGAACCAACAGAAACACTCTGCACAGCTCTGCCCAGCCCTGGCACAGAATTCCTGCAGTTACAGTAAAGATTACACCCTGCAGGACAGCACGTGATCTTCAGAGCTGGTTCCAGACCCCGTTTAGGATTAACACACGATTAACAAGGATCAGTGTAACATCACACACTGTTTCACTGAACAGATGTTCAGGCTCTGGCCCCACAGACATGAACCTGCTCAAATCCCCAGCAGGGATCCCACCCATCTGCCCAGCACCTTCCCATCCCCTCACACCAGGCACCATTCCTCGTTCACTGATCACTTTATTGTCTTGTACAAAACCCACTTAAGTCGTTGCCACAGCAGCTGCCTGGGTCCTCTGCACGGAGACTCTGGTGTGGGTCTTTGCCAGATGATCAGTGAACTCCTGCAAAAAAATATATAAAACCAGCATTTTATTTTATTTTATTTTCTCAAGTCACAGCTTTCTCAGCACTGCATCCCTTTCCAACAAGGTGTGTGTGGGGGGACTGGGTAGGTCAGAAACAACTTACTTTTACTTTGTATTTCAAAGTTTTTCTTATTTCCTGTCTACTAAATACCATTTTCAGGTATTACTCAACACTGCAGGGTGGATAAATCACACTCCCCCTGCCAGTCAGCTCTGACTGCAGCTCTGTTCTCCCATTATTAAAGCACCAATTCTTTGGGTACAACACCTGAGCCTGACAGGGCAGGAAGGACAAGGTGTGAGGTGTGAATTCCAGCTGTACTCTTACCTGGTAAGGAGACTTGGTGAACACAGTCTCTTTCCAGAGGTCAGGAGTCAGGTAACTGTAGGTCTTGGAGATGGCATCGAAGGTGGCTTTGGCTGCGGGCAGAATTGTAGTTAAAATCAGAGTAGTTACAGCGATTGGGGGACACTGGGGATGTCCCCCAAATCAAACACTGCACAGCACGGCTACAGAAAATCCTGCTCGCTGCCACCCGCCCACGCAGCTCCACAGGTGTGGAATTCAGGAAGGATGGGGCAGACCATGGCAGGGTCTCCCCAATAAACCCACTAAACTCGAGTTTCTCTCTCTCTCCATTTATGACAATTACACCACTTCAACAAAGTGCAATCGCGCAGATTGGGAGATTCTTTAATATCCACACACGTACAAAGAGACAAGTTCTTGTCATTAACTTCTACAGAAGTTCAGGGTCTGCTACAGCAGGACTAACCTGCAGTGTAAACAGTATCAGCAGGAGTGTTCACTTCTGCTCGACTCTGAGAAGCTTTTAATGTGACACAGATTAAAAATATTACAGCAATGGGTACGTTGTGTTCCTGTCAGTGACAGAAATGGCAACACACAGAGCTAAACTGCAACAGGAAAATCCCAATCTTACCAAAGTTGCCCAGAGTGGCAGTGCAGCCCCGGGCTGAGGTGTAGCAGTCATCGATCCCAGCCATCATCAGCAGCTTCTTGGGGACAGGGGCTGACACAATCCCTGTGCCGCGGGGAGCCGGGATCAGACGCACCAGGACGGATCCACAGCGGCCGGTGACCTGCGCGGACACAGCGGGTGACAGCTCCTGACACACACACAGACACACACCAGCACCACCACCAACACCCAGGACGCCGCTCTCACCTTGCAGGGCACGGTGTGGGGCTTGCCAATCTTGTTCCCCCAGTAGCCACGTCGTACAGGGACGATGGATAACTTAGCCAAAATGATCGCCCCACGAATCGCGGTGGCAACTTCCTTCGAGCACTTAACGCCGAGACCAACGTGGCCGTTGTAGTCCCCGATAGCCACAAACGCCTGGGATTGAAAGAGAAGCTCTCAGGGGTGGCTGCAGCACAGAGAACGCTCAGCAGGAGCGAGGTGTGAGCTCAGCAGGGAACGGCCACAGCTCCCTCCACGTACAAATCCAGACACCGCCTGCACAGCTCGCAAAGCTCATTTTCCCCCTTCAGACAAAACCAGCTGCACTTGAAAGGGCAGTTAATGACAGAACAAGGGGAAATGGGTTTAAGCTGAAAGAGGGGAGGTTTAGATGAGATATTAGGAAGAAGTTCTTCACTGTGAGGGTGGTGAGACACTGGAACAGGTTGCCCAGAGAAGCTGTGGCTGCTCCTCCCTGGAAGTGTTGAAGGCCAGGTTGGATGAGGCTTTGAGCAACCTGGTCTAGTGGAAGGTGTCCCTGCTGCTGGCAGGGGGGTTGGGACTGGATGAGCTTTAAGGTCCCTTCCCACCCAAACCAGTCTGGGATTCTATGAAAAACTGGGACTGAATTCCCTGCTACAGCCTCACACTGGTCAAAACTCCCAATTATTTTTAAGCAGCGTTCCCTCCTAACAACTAAAACTTCTCTCTCCACCACAGCCCCTGAACAGCCTGCACGAGAGCGACTTAACCTTGTGCTAGGGCTGTCTTGAAAGATTATTTGAACATATCATTAAGGTTTTAAAGTTAAAACAGTAAGTTTGCAATCTACACAAGCTGATCTCCATACCAAACATTTACTAAATATTGCAAAAAAAAAAAAACAAAGGTACTTGAACTCCTGTATTAATGATACCAAAAAAGCAGCAGACACCACACAGCAAGTTTTCAAGGTGAGAAATGAGGTTACCTTAAACCTGGTACGCTGACCAGCACGAGTCTGTTTCTGCACAGGCATGATCTTCAGAACTTCATCTTTCAGAGAAGAACCCAGGAAGAAATCGATGATCTCTGACTCCTGCAAGATTCAGTCATTTAATCAGTCACACACTTTTTAATTAAATACAATTCACAATCCCATACAGAGCTATTTTAAATAACAAGCACTTAAGTGTGCTGAACTTTGTAGGCATAAACTTAGTCTACCTTGTTAGGCAGTCCAACACAGCACACTAAAATCTCATTTTCTTCCATCACCAAGCAGAACAATCACAGCAACACCTGAGCAACGTGCTGCCACCTCCACACCAGGCAGAACACGACACACAAAACCCACCAGGCTTCACTACACAGGGCTGCATCGGCCCTCGGCTGCTGCTGAGCTGTGCCTTTAACTCAGACACCCTGAGCCTGAGCGTCCCAACAGCAAACGCAGCAACAAAGCCTCACTCTGCGTTTCACACCAAGATCTGCTGCATGTTATTGAAGTGATGATGGAAACTCACCTTGATGGGAAGTGAGAAGAGATAAATCTCCTCCAGAGACTTGATCTTCATGTCCTTGACCAGGCGACCAAGCTTGGTGACAGGAATCCACTAGGAAGGAAATCCGTGGGGAAAAAAGAGTCAGGGGCAGCACCGGCTGCCAGCCCCCCGG